ACACACAGAAAAACACACACACACACACAGAAAAACACACACACAGAAAAACACACACATACACACACAAAAAAACACACATACACACACAGAGAAAAACACACACAGAGAAAAACACACACACACACAGAGAAAAACACACACAGAGAAAAACACACACAGAGAAAAACACACACACACAGAGAGAAAAACACACACACATAAGCCACGAGTGTTCACGTTGGAACATGAGGGGCAGCTACTGAGAGATGTGCAGCTTGTTGCAGATCAAGAATCAACCACCAGATGATGTTTTATGGACTTTAACTTACATATCAACACAGAGAGTGAAGCTCACAGGTCGTCATGACAACCGCCTCCCTCACTCATGGTCACTGCCGCATGACCTAACAAACTAACGAGAACAGATCAATCACTAAAAGAACAATACTGAACAGATAACTAATGAACATAAATTTTACCCATAATCCCTCTCTGAGGCCATGTGACCAGCAGTCAACCCCAATGAACCAATGAGGTCGTCTCACTGAGGCTCGAGGACTCGTTTACAACAGAGTGATGACGGTGGACAGTTGTAAAAAGGCATATAGATTATTGTTTTTTTAATTGATGAGACTCCCTGTTTAAGAAAAGGTTTAAATAATCTGACTAATGAAATCACTGAACACGTCAGAGTCAAACCAATGAAAATGGGGGGGGGGGGATTCCCCTGCGTGTGCAGAGCATGTGAGTCTCACATGCTCACAGAGCAACACAGCACAAGAATCAGTTTTATTCTCATTGCACCAAAGTACAGTGAGATTATATTCTGTTCAGTCGTCTGAAAGAGGAGTGCACGTGGCTGCAGCTCAGAGGAGTGCACGTGGCTGCAGCTCCTACGAGCGCAGCCCCTTATTCTTTAAATAGAGGGGGGACAGACCATGAGGATCGTGGTCTTACTAAAAGATCTCCTCACACCTTGTCCTTGTCAGGACATGATTTAAGACGTCAAAACCACCAGCAGCACATTTACAGACTCATCACATGCATCTGAGGAGAAGATGGTGAGATTTGTCATGAAGCTCTTCCAGATAGACCGTAGTCCTGAGAAGATGTTGGTGTCGGTCGGTACAGCTCTGATGAGCGTTCACAGGAGTTCTTTTGGGGGGTGTATAGAGCAGAGCCTTCTTAGTTCACACACATCACCAGGAGGATCAGTCGGCCTGCTTCAAGGCTGAACAGGGAGGTCCGAGTCAGAGGAGCACAGTTGTTTCTGCGCAGGCCGACTGTCGTTCTCCTCAGCCTCGAGTTCTGCTGGTACTCTTGATCCAAGAAGACCAGGTTTGTGGGCTTTCCACCGGTCCGTGTTTATTGTCCTTCTCCGAGGTCGTCCCCAACATGCTGGTGAGTCCCAGAAGACACAAGTGGTCTACGATTCTCATAAATCACTTCCATCAGTTGAGCTCGTGAATCAGCCGAGTCCGAGAGCTCGAAGCACGAGCCAAACCTTCACGTAAGGTCGGCAGCTTTGTCGTGGCCGAAGCTGCTGCCGCCATCTTTAACAGCCGACGCCCCGGGTATCCAACGGTGCCAGAAGCAGAAACCTGCTGTCATAAATCCAGTGATGTCTAAATCTTCAACATCCTCCTGAGACGACACAGAAAGGCTCTTCAGCTTCCACCCCCCACGACGTACCCAGCCACGTGCGTCTCAGCCGGGCACCAGGGTTCTCCAGCACCCCGTCGCTTGGTGGAAACACTGGATCAGCTGTGCTGAAAGTCCAGCTGACCAGATCCATGACGGTAATTTACGATTCAGAAGATACACAAGACGGAGGAGGGGAGGAGGAGCAGGAGAGGAGGAGCAGGAGAGGAGGAGCAGGAGAGGAGGAGCAGGAGAGGAGGAGCATGAGGAGGAGCAAGAAGAGGAGGAGCAGGAGAGGAGGAGCAGGAGAGGGGGAGCATGAGGAGGAGCAGGAGAGGAGGAGCAGGAGAAGAGGAGCATGAGAGGAGGAGCAGGAGAGGGGGAGCATGAGAGGAGGAGC